CTAAAGGTAGAGGGGCAGAAGTCTCAGGAGACAGGGGAGGGTCAAGGAAAAAGGTTGCAATGCTCAAAGGGTGATTTGTTTTGTCATAAACTGCTACTGAAGGAGGACCATAACTGTCAAAAAGTAATTTTGTAATACAGACTGACAATCCCCGCAATTTCAATCCTATATTTCAGGCAAACTTTCTTCCTAATTTTTTGCAAGTCACAAATTAGTCCGATTGGTGTTTGATGGAGGAGGAGCCAGTCAGGACATTATTGACTGTCCTCATTCCCTTATAGCTCGATGAAGGTCTGCAGTAGAGGAGGAGCGAGTGAGGTACACACATTTTGTTTGACAGGAAGAGATGGCACAGAGTGGTCTGAGAACAACTAAGGTGAAAATCATGAGGTCTGTGAATGCAAAGCTTTGTGGGAATAAAATCTAAAAGTGAGCTGTCAACACTTGTTTACTATCTTTAGGCAAAAGGGCAAAATAAGAAACAGGTTTTGAGAAACATAAAATGCATCAATGTTGAAATTGAATACTTAAACTGTAATATCATATCTGACAGCCCTGATTGGGTGGATGATAGTGGAGACCTGTGTGTCCTTACATCCTGATGCTCACTCCTAATAGGTCCATTGTTTTCATGTTGCACAATTACAAATTACATTTTTGGCATTAATCGACATCACCTTTGTAAGATTTGATGCCCTCAGTGTTTTTCAATCACTACACTAATTGTTAATACATTACACACCTGTACTGGCATACTCAACACATTCTGTTGATCAAATACTCATTGTACATGAGAAATCATGGATGAGAGCCTGTTTTCACTAAATCTGGACAGTTCACACCATGTAGGCATAATAACATGGTGTGAACTGTCTACCTTTGATCTTAAAAAGTTACATTGATTGCGACACTGACAGCACTTTAAACAACTTTAAGAGTATGAATTAACAAATAAGATGCTAAAATAAATCTTAAAGTCGTCTTACCTGCATGGTTACTGTATGCAGGTGCTCCTCCTGCATTTATGGTCTACCGCGGGCCATTTCTGGGCTCTTTGGTTTCCCACAAAGTTAAGTGATCCAAAGGTTTTTGTTTTCCAAGATCTGCTTTCCACTTTAAAACTCAAAGAGTTTGCTTTCCAGAGGTTGGTTGCAAAGTGAGAAATCAGAATGGTCTGAAGGCCTCACATATATGACCTCGGCTGGGTCATCGTTCTGTTTGGGCTGCGGTGCGTAATGAATGCAGAGGAGGAGCGAGGACCTGCATGCATCTGTTTTTTTGTGTTACTTTAAGAATACTTGAAGATTATTGAGAGAAAATTGTAAGTTTTAGCGCGTGAGGATTGAAAAAGGGGGTGGTAGGGGTGGTTGAGAGGAGGAGAACAAATTACGAAGAGGAGAGTAAAGTCAAGAAGTAGAGAAAATATTGGGGAGAAGAGAGGAGAGGAGCATTTTGCCTGATTGTTGCAACTGAACATAGGCCTACTTTGTAGATTGAAGGGTATAATTGGTTAATTTTCCAACAGTGTTGTTCAATTTTGTGTAAAGATTTTTGTGATTGTGAGTGGTTATTATATAGACCACAAAAGCGTGCACAATGTGGCGTTGTTGTTTTTTTTGCTGTTGTTGCCTGATATAAATAAAAGAGGAATGGAGAAAATGAATGTGTATGTGTAGCAGCTGTTGAGTGTTTATAGTGTAGATATTTAGACACCTCATATGTAAGCTAGACAGATATTTCCCCTGCTCATTACTGTGCACAAATATACTGTATGTGCTTAGCATAGAGTTTAATAATAACTAGATACCGGATGCCAAGATGGCGCCTGTTCATTCCAATGGGGTTGCTTGCCCGGCACATTCACCAAAAAAGTTTTCTAGCTTCTGGGTATATGTCTGTTATACGTGGCCCTCTGAATCTGCACAGTAGGCCTTGCGTGTCTCCTGTTGGCCATGCCCATAGGTTCCTGCTAAGCTCTTAAGGCCCAGACACACCAAACTGACATCAGAGAACTAGTGGCGACAGGAGCCCTCTGCTGCATCACCTTATATTGCCTTTTTTTGGTCAAGAAGTTGCACATTAACATGCCAAAACTAACAGACAGCAAGCACGTATGTTCTGTGCCTGCCTGAGAGGTGTGAGGTGAGAAGTTTGGTGTGTTAGGACCTATAGACTTTACATTGTGATGATGTCACAGATTTTTTAAATCGCTTTTCTTGGCTTAAGGAAAGTTTTACAAATATAAAACCACTATGGCTCAAAAATTCAGAATAAAAAAGAATCATAGCTGACTTTGTTTGCAGTTTGAGGTGTCCTGTCAGCAGTTTTACAAAAGGGTTATGTTTTTTCAGTGGTGGCCTACCAGGAAAATGCTTTTTGGGCCACAGGGTTTTTTTTCTGCTGCAATACCACATGTGGCCACTGGGAAGAATTTGCTGCAAGGGTGGGTTTCCTGGGGACCTGATACCCAGGCCTCAAGAAACCCTCTGGTGCTGGCAGATAAAAACCTCCTGTCAAGGTGCACTTTGTGTGAGTACAATTATTATTTTTATGGGGTTTTTTTTGCACCAGCATTTTGTGCCTGCAAAAAAATGTGGAAGGGATGCCCTTTATTCCACTGTAGCACCTGCCCTACAAAATGTCTGTGCACAGCACCATATCTCCTGGAATTTAAATTAACAATCAGTATGCTAGCAGTGAGTATTTAGTGCAGTGCCCATGATGGTTTCCACTGATGTCTTGGCTCGCTGGTGACGGAGCTCAGTGAACCCCTCCTAATGTTACACTGCAGCCATTCTGCAGCATGACGCTATTATACACATTATGTACAGCACAGACGACACCCTGACACACACACACATTCATACACACTTACATAGAGAGCCAAGCCCAGTCAAAATCACTCAGCTGCACCTGCACTCAAACACACAGGGGAAAGAAAAAAAAACTGTTTGACATGCAAAGAGAGATTTCATCATGCAGTCAGGGTCTACATTTTAAGTTAGAGCAAGGATACAAAAAAAATGTTATGTTTGGCAATGCTTCCCCGGAGCTCTTTTCTGTGATGATGCATTTGGGTGAAAAAACAGGAAGAAGTGAGAAGGTTCTGACAAAGTAATCCAGTTTTTTAATGTTCAATATGTGCATGTACTTGCCTGTCTGTAACAAGTATTAGGCAGAAAGAGTTGTGTGCAAATTATGTGTGTGTGCCCATGCATGTGTGCACATCTTCAAATCCATTTGGACAAATAGAGCCTTGGGGCAGTTTGCAGTGACAGTGCTTCCGTAGATGCCAGCGGTGTCCTGAAAACAGCGGCCACAGTAAAGTTGGCCCCTGCAGAATAACTATAATGCATTAATTAAATCAATGTGCTCCACACGTAGATCCTGTGAAATGGATTTTTATAACACAGGAGTAAATGAAAAATAAATCAATAAAACATGCAACACGTGATGAAAGCAGTCATTCTCCAATCACCCACTCTGTTGAAACAGCTTGTCTTCTGAGATTTACCAAATACAGTTCTTGTTCAAATGCAGTAATCTACCACATGCATCTACTGTGTTATTTACCAAGTCCATGTGTGCTTGTTGTTTGCAGTGGGGGATAGATTTTATAAATCACAGCTAAAATATATTTTTGTGAAGCTCAGAAACAGAGGCATCCAGCAGAGACTCGCCAGGCCCAGCGAAATTTGCTCGCTGGCTCCAGGCCCCATATGTGTCTGCCCATGTGAGTTGTGAATGAAGCCAGGGGGTTACAAATGGGACCCATGTGAGAAAACCATCCTCTGGCCCCACATGAACCCCTTTTGTGTGCATTTACTTTGGCTCATGATTGGACCGACGAGGGCTACAATTGAGGCCCATGAGAGAGAAATCATCCTCAGACCTCAAATAGGTCCCTTTTTTGTGTGTGCCATCACTATATGGGTTAATAATTGAGAGCTCATATGGTTTCCACATAGCGTACGCCATGCACACTTGTTGTGCACAGAGCCCGTATTTCGGATGGACAAGCTGTCGGGGCAGTTACAACTTTTTTATTGTGGGTAAACGCGGCAGATAGGAGTATTTCCTGGACAACACAATTGATTTTCTTCGCATTAAAGTAACCATAAACCTCTCTCGTAAAGCAGACCATTAGCTGTCTATTAGTGTGCTTCACTTTGCTTGTGCAGGCAATTTACATATTAATGAGCTTGCACTCACTCACACTTTCACATGCAAACACACGCTCAAACACACCTGCCCACATATTCTCACAGAGGGAACATTCTCCGATGCAGAAAAAAAAATCAGTAAGAGATCATATGCTGATTCATTTGGAGGAAGATATGGGGGAGCCAAGCATTGTTAATCATGCATAGGTGGGCCATATTGCTCGCTCCTATTCATTGCTAGTTCTCTTGACCTGAGTGGAAAAATGTAGCCGGATCATAAAGGGCCATCATACTGGCCTTTTATAGTCCAGTTAATGGAGACCATGTTACTGGTAGAGGTTGGCTTTTTTCCTCTAAGAGGATTCTACTCTCTGTGCGTTCATTTAAATTCTATAGGCTGTCTGAGTCTCTTTTTGTTTTACTTTCTCTTCCTGGCAACCATTGTTTCAGGTTTTTATTGTTTTCCTTCCTGCCTCTGAAATGGAAAGATAGTGCTTTGACCAGAGGTGTCTCAGGCTAGCTTCCTCAGTTTACTGCACCACTATGACATTTAAAGGATGTTAAAGGATTTTGATTTTTAAGAGGACTGGCAGTTGAAGGAATCTACATTATGTTGCTACATAAATCATTCAAAACTACATTCTGACAGATGGGAATATGTTTATATTGCTGAGTACTGAGCATCTGGCATTCAAAATATCCCCAGTGATGGATGAAAGTAATTTCTTTTGGAACAAGGCAAGTTTTTAGTATTCTAGCAACTTTGATCCTAACATCTACTTTTTCTCTTCCTTCCTTATTTCCTCCCTTCCCTCCCTCATTCCCTCCTACTCACAGAGGATGAGCTGCAGCTACCTGCTCTGCACTATCCTGCTATTCGTGGCTGTATTGCTGGCTGTCACCGTAACTGGCACCATCCTTTTTATGAATCACTACCAGGCCCCACCCATGTCTGATGGCCTACCCCACATCTCTACCAATCAGGATGAAGCCAATGCCCTGGTCACTGTTGAGAGAGGCGATGGCTCTCGTATCAACATCTTCATCGATCCCAACTGTCCCGACTATAACAGTAACTTTTTGCGCCTGGAGGGTGTGCAGACATCACTGCTCCACTCGCTAACTGACCATGATTCTGACCTGAAGTCAGTGAAAGGCCAGGATCGGGCTCTTCTTGTCAATCTGGCTGAGGAGGTGGCGAAGCTGTCAGCACACGCCGGGCAACTGAAAATGGACTATGAATCCTTGCGCAGGGGGCAGGGCAGCCTGGGGCAAGACCTCAACACGCTGCAGACGGAGCAGGGACGCCTCATACAGGTGAGACACATACACACACTGACACAGTGGACCTCATTGTAAGGTCATAGAGAGTACACCAGCCAGGTCAGAGCGCATTGAGGCACAATATAAAACAAATAAGACACTGATAATGAAATTCCAGTTGTATCTTTCCTCACATTTTGTTTTATATTTGCAACGACTGCAAAGACTGCCCCACAAGAATATATTAATATGTAATAGCACATCATTTTATCCCATGATCATTATCATGACAATAAAACAGCAAACAAGAATTTAATTCACCAGAAAAATGCCAAAGCCAAAGCCAAAGCCAAAGCCAAATATGTAGGGCTGAAATAATGATCATTGAAATCATTTGAGATCATTGAATTGTTCTCCCTTCTTTTTTTTAAGTAGTTTAATGTCAATTACTAGTGTAATCAAAAATAAGTCTGGAATGGTTAACATGTAATATTTTGCATTGTTGTTCGATCCTGGCACGCAGCCATGAATTGTGCCCACTTGGTTGATAGCTGTTTAGATGCTGAACTGTGGCTTGAAGACAACAAAGAGTTATGTACCAACAACCTGTGGCTGTATTAATGTATGTCCTGAGGGTATGCAGAGAACTGGATACAGTGTTAGAGGCAGAGTGCAATTCAGTCCTATAAAAGTTGCTCAGTGGCAAATTTAACTTCCTGGGTGTAAATTTCCCGGATCTTCTGCGTCATTGGGCCCATAGAGTAAGTGCACTATAGACTTTGAATTCTGCTGGCCAAGCAGGCCACTTGTGGTTTAGCCCTTTGCTAATTTGAACGGAGGTCAAATGTTTAAAAATTCAAATCTGTTCAGGCTTAATGGATCAAATCCCGATTGTCACTGCGTGTGGATTGTGACGCTCCAAAAAATGGAACCACTGATTTACAGACATGTCTTCCCCAATGTAAGTCTATGGGGAAAAAGTCTTTTTGAGCCTAATGGCATCACTTGACAGACCAGGAGGTTGTAGTTACACGATTTGGCCACTATTCCAAATTGGCTTCAAAGTCTAACACACTTCCTGGGGGCCTGATGTACGTACGTACAATTGCCTTGAACATGACATTTCAAGAACGCCTTAAGGGAATTTCCTCAAATTTGGCACAAACATCCATTTGGACTCAAGGATGAACTGATTAGAATTTGGTGGTCAACGTTAAAAGGTCACTGTGACCTCACACAGATGTTTTTGTCCATAACTCAAGAAATTTTACACTAATTATCACAAATTTTCATACAAATGTTCAATAGGATAGAATGATGAAGTGATTGCATTTTATATCCAAAAGCTCAAATTCAACTTCACTGTGACATCATTATATTGTGCAAAAACACTTCTCTGTCTATTATTCAACATCATTACACAGGAACAGAAGGGGAGACATTTAGTTGGATACTGAATTGGTGACACTAATCTTGGCTACCCACCTCAAAACTGTGGTAACTGTATATAACGTATGTGCTGCCAGGTTAAAGACACGTGTGAAGCATCTATGTTTTAGAATTTGTAGCTTTTGCAGCAACATACATATTTGAAGTCTACTGTCACGGCTACATATGAGTCTGGACAGACATGGGTGTAAACTGTAACTGCAACTAACTGGAGGCATACAAACATGAGGTGCTAATTCTAATTCCTTTGGCTTTTGTGGTTGAACATGGGTGTGATTGGTTGAGCAGTAAACAGATGAACCAAGTGCAGTGTGCCAGACTCACTGCTGGAGTCATGACTTTAAGTACTGTACAGAAGCGCTCAAGGACTGGATTGTGAAACACCTATCAATATATATTGATTGTGAAACCACCTTAAGACGTGTGACAGCTAATTGGACTTGAAGTTGGTTTCATTTAGTCCCTTCCTTTTCCTGACTGCAAAATCAAAACGCCATCATTCACTAAGCCAATGCCAACTTGACTATTTTAATTTCTTTTTACACTGTACAAGTCGAATAACGCTAAATTAAAGTGCAAATAGGCCTCATGTTTCACTGAATAGAACTAACACAGTCTAGTGCTTGAAGATGAGGTCACTGGGGAAAAGATGCCCATCATGGTTTAAAAAACAGAACAACTTGCACATTAATTCAATAAGATAACAACATGTTTCCCCTCGATGTGTAAGACAGACTCCGCATTGGATGAAAACATGATTAGACCCCCTTTAGTCTCACACTGTCCACATTGATTTATTGACGATGCATTTCCTAAATGTGCGTGGAAAATCTTCACACCACATGCTCTTTTAATTTTGGCCCATCAGACTCCGTCTCTCTATTCTGCAGTAAATAGATTTCATAGCTGCCAGCCATACAGCTCAAACAACTGAATGCATTCTGCTTCTGCCAGTCCTTTCTTTAAGCCAGCTCTCTTTAGCTCAGGGTTCAGCATTGTTTTGAAATCACTCAAAAACTCACTGGATTGGTTTGCTCTGCCTCCGTGGGCTAAGAAACCATGGGTGCTGATTGGTAGTACAATGGAGGTAGAGCGAGGGTTTGTCCCTGCTGCTATTAATGTGGTGTAGGTGGCATAGCGTGCTGGACACTGGGGCTAAGTGGGGGTGGTGCTGGCAGTCCAGACACTCCAGGTGATTGATTTCCTCTTTGGAGGCAAGGCATGTGGTGTGCACATCCGCTGTTTCTGCCTGACACCATGGTGTGACTGTGTGATCTATGGGCCACCTGTGGCCAGGACTTCTGATTTATACGATGACACAGAGCTGACTGTGCCAGTGTTAGTAATGGCTCTGTGTGCACTGCAGCCCCCTGAAGAACCGTTTCACCCTGCCATATAGAGAGAAACCCTTTCACATGCCCCTGAGGAGATAAGCAGGAGAATCTGATTGTGGTGGGTTTAGCAGCGATTTGTTTTGATTTTTCTCAAACCGACATGTACATTTTTCACAGTGGCTGCTTACAGCCTAAAATAGAAAGGTGCACATTTTCATTCAAATACATCACACTGATGGGACCAGTAAAATATAGGAAGATAACAATACATTAAACTGATGGTTAGGCTTCAGAGTGATGGACAAGATGCAGCATGTTGCTCGTGTTTGCTCTGAGTCAAAACTCTTATATTATACTGGCAGTGTGTTATAGGCTTGGGCGGTATCAAGCTATTCAGGTATACCAGGGTATTAAGAAATCCTGAAGGTTATTAATGCCGTCAAAAATACAGATGCTCCTTTGTCCATTAAACTGATATGAGTGTTTGACATGCACTACTAGAGGTCAGTCTCTACTGATGGAATACAGCTAAGCTAACACAGACGGCAACTGCGAGTAGTGGGGATAACGTTACAGGACAAGTTAAAAAGAAAAATGTCCCTGCCCCTGGTTGTGAGTAATATGGGATTAGTCCTGGTGACAAAGTCGAGCCAGTCAGTTCTGATCAAGATTAGTGGACCATTTGCATCCTTGCCAAAAATTTTTATTCAACTGCCAGTCTGCTACCACTTCCTGCACATCATCTCCATTCAGCCTGCTGATGTGTTTGTATCCGCCACGACACCAAGGTTCGCCAGCAAGAATCTATGAAAGAAAGGTGCTTATTTCCTATTTATTCATTTTTCTATGGGCCATACATGTTGAAACCCAGCAAGAATTGACTAGGTAGGCTAATTGCATATTAGAAACACAACATTGTAAGCTTCACAGTGCCACATAATCCACAATGACTTATATCACCAGGAGCTCAGCTCAGAAAAAAATGGATACCACCCAAGTCTAATATATTTCTTTCTCCTTCAATAACCTGTGAATATTAGAGGACCAAGAGTAGAACCCTGGGGGGCTCCTCATGGTTTAGGTTTACAAATGCCAATGGCAGCAACATAGTCCATAAAGTCTAGAAACAACCCTAACTGACTGAGGACTGTACCAGATACCAGTAGGAGATCAGCCTGATGTTTTCCCTGAATTAGCATTAAGACAAGTGTCATTTAGTATCTTAATCAGTGTCTATGTGCTATGAATATGTCATGATCCAGACTGAATATTGCCAGAAAAGCCATTAACATCAAAAAGGTAGTTGAGATAAAAATCATTCCAATAAAGGAATTACCACACACACACACACACACACACACACACACACACACAGAACCATCCCGTCAAACCACTTTTAGGCTACATTCACATTTCAGGACTTAATGTTCAATTAGACTGTTCACATTCATTTTTGAAATGACCCATATCAGTGTGAACATTGCCCAAATGATCACCATAGTAGGAAAGTCAGATGATGTCATTCTGCATAGTAATTAGGCATGTGCTTCTGTTTGTTTGAGTGTATAGCATATTTTCGGAGCAATGCACGTTTGTTTTGGGGATAACAGGCTATCAAACAAATGGACTTTGGTCGGCTACCTGCTATTAGCCGCTATTGCTGGTAGTTCTGTTGAGAGAGAGGTGTGGCTGCAGCCGGGAGAGGAGTCAGGAATAGTGCGGCCACGATGTTAAGGGTTTTACAAAGGAACAGTTCTTCCAAAATGGGATGTCCACGGTTAAATTCCAATATCTCAGTCGGCACCTTACAACAATGCTGTCATGTAATGTAAGTAAGCTGTCACTGTCAGAAACCGTCAGCAGCCCACTGCGGCATAGGTACTATGATGGCAGCCTTCTGTGGTCTCAAAGAGCCACTCAGACACTGCATGGTGAGTGATCTGCATTTGTGCAGTTAAGTATGATGTGGAAATACCATGGATGTATGAGGAAAAACCCACATAAATTCTTATATAACCATTCTCACAGTGGTCTCATGGTCAGTGATCAGATATGTATCAGATTTAGGACCTACATATGAAAGACGCCCAGATCTGATTTGAACAAATTGCGTTTCTGTGTCCACACTACTCTGAAAAAATCAGTGTCACATGAGGGCTTAAAAAATTTGATTTCATCCTCATTTTCTTGTATGTGAACATCGCCTTAGTTATCACCTGTGGAAAACTAATGATGCAGAAACACAGACATTAGCCTGTCACTGCCTGACAA